TCATGCAAGAATGATGAAATTGTATTAACAAGACTTCCGTACCTCCCTTGAAGAAATGTACAGAAACACATGGGCTGCAATTCTAATCCCATCTCTATGCACCGCAGAAACATGTAGTCAGGCATACACAATTTCTTTCTGAATTCTCTGCTATTGCTGCAAGTGAGAAGTTTTGTTAAGTGTGCATCCTTTAGGATTTCGGTAGAGATTTTCTGTTAACTGACATCAAACAGGAGTATTCAGAGCTCTACCTTTTTTTTCAGATCAATGACTTTCTGAGCTATGAGATTTCCATTTCAAACTCATAAAATAATTTTTGCATCTTAAAAAGCAGCGGTATTATTTCCCCTGTTTCACAGTTTTGGCATATGCTCATCCACCTGGTAGCTTGTTACAGCTGCTGGATATTTATGAATTCTGCCATACATACTGCCTCCAAGTACCCCTCATTCCTTACAGAGACTATAATGGCTATATCTGTCAGTTGAATGCTTTTAAAAATACAGCTTTTTCCTCCAAGTACCAATAACTTCATTGTCTCCTGCATTTTTTCATGTTGGAGGGCAGAGTGCGCTTACCGTACTTCTGAGCAGCACGGCATTTCCTACACATCAGGGATGCCTGAACACTTCCAGACACAGGGTCACTGACACCTTTTAGACTTTCACAGGTACCCATAGCACAAACAAATGAAAAAACAAGAGTTTTTAGTACTTACTGTTATATGCTTCTGTAGATTACCTACAGACAACTCTCCGTGGACCAAAGGACCACCAACCAGCTGTCTGGGAATGACTGCAGTGAAGCAGTCTCAGCCCTTTGCCACCTTCACGCTCCCTGTGCTGAGGACAGGAACATGGTGCAGGTCTGTGTGTGGGGAGGATGCTCTGGCCCTGCACAATGCTGCTGATGCTCTAGTTTATACCGAGATCAGCATATATGGTAGACCTTCTCCAGCTTATTCCACTGGTGTACGATTTCTATGGAAATACATAGGAACAGAAGAGCTGCACAGATTTCTATGGAAATACATAGGAACAGAAGAGCTGCACAGGGCAGCAGAGCTCTGTAATGCCATCGTTTCCCACCTGTCTCAATATGCAATTGCACTGGGGCAGAACGTCCATGACCCAGGCCCAGTCGTCCAGTTTGAGCAAAACCAAGTCCCTTTCAATATTCCCTCCCTCCCTGCGCAAATGCATTTTGGACTTAGCCCTAACAGTGTGTCATTATTTTCACTCCTCTTCCCTCCCTGCCCCCAGCATAATAATTAATTTTGCACTTTGATAAAAAGAAATAAATCATTTTCACATTACGAAAAACTGATTATAAGTAGAGGATAAATCTATGACATTATGCATGAGTCCCAAATGAATGGAACATTTTAAAACTTCGCTTTAACAGGGTTCATAACTGAAACACTGATGTCATATTTTGGCTGTAACAGCATGAATAGCCCTGACATAGTAAGTTCTCATTCAGTGACACATGAACCTTGATATTATCTGACCTACTACTTATTCACAGCAAGATATGACATCTTCCTTTCATGATTATATATCGTAAGAGTCACGGCCACACAGAAGTCGCACAAATAAAACAACTCTGAAGACTGGATTTTCCCCAAGCCACCACTATTCATGTCATTCATCTTCTTTTAGCTCTTGCCAACAGAAACGCATGACTATTTACAGTGGTGGAGAGAGAAAGCCTTCCTGCTGGGCCATATATTCCCGCAGTGCTGTAATCTGTCTTCAAACTGCTAAACCAATTCACACTCTTGTCTCTTCTCTCAGTTAGCAGCTACACAAAAAAAAGTTCCAGTACATCAGTTAGTAACATCCCTCTAAAAACTCACGTCTGCTTTCCTGAAATTTAAATGTTTCCTTTTAAAAAGTGTGAAGACAACCATCAGTGGATGTACCAACGCAGAGACATCTTGCTATGCCTGAATCAACTGAACTGAAACATTTGTACAGCATTTTATAATCAAAGAAATGTAACTCTTTGACAGTCCATTTTATGAAAGTGAATAATTTAAGGTACAGAAGGAGTAAGTTCAGTCAATTTGAAACCAGCTTCTGATTTTTGATATCACACTACTAACCTCTGAGTATGACTCTTAGGAAAGCTAAGTGTTCACAACTGCAACTGAAGACAACACATTCGAAACAGGCCTAACATATCCAGGTGCTGCTATCAGAATGGATGTAGTCATTTTTCCATCATTTACACAAGAAATGCTCAAAAGGACCATTCTATGGTCCTATAGTGCACAGAAAATAGGCATCCTCAATTCTTTTTCCTGTGTCTTATCTTCAGAAGTATCCTATTTCTATTTCAATGATCCCTTCAAGGCCTGTAAGAATCTAACTGAAGCAAGATCTACTCCAATCCATCTATTGCAGTAACAATCCTAGAATTAAGGTTGTTTACTAAAAATATTTCACTGTTAACTCTTTCAACACACATTTTGACTGTATATTCAAGAGCTGAAGGACATAATTGCCCCTGTTTACCTCTAGCAAGACATGAACTGTAGCAAACAGATACTGATCTTGGGACACAGTACTAATTTATCTCCAGGAAATCAAGATACCGGATATTTAGACTTCCTAATCCAAAAACAAGTACCATAAAACATGGCAACTTAATTTTGAAACCTTAGAGTAGAATTTATTTTTACAGCATGGGTCTCTGGTTACATCCTTCAATGTTTGTCAGATCTAATGGTGATCCTTGCTGCTATGGTCTTGGAAAGGAAGACAGTGAAAAGACAATGTATAATCATTTACACTATGAATGACAGTTCTTATTAAGTTTATTTAGGATTACATGGGTAATATGAATAGTGTAGAAGTAGTTCATAACACTGAGTCTGGGGGAAGAGCTATTCATGATGTGGAACTACCGCCTGGGAATTCAGCAGCTTTTGTCTTTGTTTTCATTTTTGCCATGCTCTTTTGCACCACTCTCAATTGTTTTCACCCAAATGGACTGTCCTTAATGGGAGGCCTTCTCATTTCAGTTTGTGAGCAAAATCACTTGGATTCAGACAGAATTTATTACTTTTATGAAGCAAAACTTGGCCTGGAGAGTTTTGGGGACATTTCTCTTTAGGCTTCATACATGTTTGGAGCGCAGATCATTGCAAGGAAATTAAAAACATCTTCCACCATCTCTCTATGGCACTATCTAGCCAGAATACAACTAATACGCAGGTCAATTCTCTTCTCTAGTGCACAAGCATGTACCAAAGAAACTGTTAGATCCATACTCAAGAAGTCTTTCCTTGATATTTGAAAGACAACTAATCATCATGTCTGACCTCACATATTCTATTTTGCAGGTAAATTACAGGAAAGGCAATAAATGAATTAGTGACCAAATCTGCAACTTCCTGAGTCTGATACACAGACTTTTTCTATAAAGAAAGAAAGGAAGATACCCGTCTGCTTTTTTTCCTCTGAGAATTGTAGAAACCGTAAAAAAACCTGAATTATTGAAATACTGTTCTTCATAAGAATCTAGTACGTGATTTTCCATCATTATAATGTTACATTTCTTTTTCCTTTCCACTCTGTGTTTGTTATGTATATCTGGTCATTATGTAAGCTAAAAAGATTGTATAGATGTCAAGACGATGAGATGTAACTCTGCAAGTGTTTGAAATCACAAACTCTAAACAATTTTCTATTCTGTGTGAAAAGAATTTTGCAACCTCTTTTTCTGGATAGAGAATGCTTCATACTGAAGCATATGTTATTCTCAAATATTATTAGACATGTCCAATCACTGAAATGTAAATGGGCTATAATTAAGCCAATACTGAAATAATTTCAATTATTTTTATTATCAGTAGCAGCATTATTGTGTAATGCAAGGAACCAGAAGCATGCGACGTTTCATAAAAGACAACGGTCTATGCCTTTGTGGTACCAAGAAATGGAGTGAGCGCAGGCATGTGAGTGCGTGTGTGATCAACAGCGAATATCAAGTAGGCAAGTAGGTGAAATGACCTGCAAGCCAGGGGAATATATACATATATGTGTGTGTGTGTACACACATGTTTTTGCACGGGTGTCTGTGAGCGAGTAGGTCTGCACGAGCAACGGAGTGGGGCTGTGAGCCTCAGGGGGGTTGAATGTCCAGGTGCCAGTAACTGGAGAGACCAGGAGCAGGGCCATCTACTGGTTAGGTTGTGTGTCAGCTCAGCTACTAGAGGGATGCACATTGTATATATGTATATATTTCCCAGTACCAGACCATCATCATGATCAGCCAGAGAGGGTAACAGGATTGAGGCTGTTGGTGCTGTTTGTGTTTGTGGGAGCGCTGAGTGTGTCCATCTGTGTTGACCTGTGTGGCCAGACCTGTCTATACGTGTTGTATGTGTGTTTGTGTGCCTATTGGGAATGCACGCTCAGCCCCGCTACCAGCTGGACCTGAGGGCAAGGAGCTGTGGCAGCCTCACATCTATCTGGCTGCTGGATGCGTCCCCACATCCTTAACTTTCTGAAAATAGGGTTGTGTGTGTCAAATTTAAACATATGTATGCTATATATATAATACTGTGTTGAACATATGGCATTGCACTCAAAACTAAGTACTTAATAAAATAACCTGACAATAGAATATTTACAATATCTTAAAAAGCATTAATTAGTTTTGCAAGCTTTTACTGAAAAATGTTTTTCACTAAAAATAACAAGCGAATTCTTTCACTTTAACCAGCCTATACTATCTATACACAGAATAAAAAAAACAATATTCTTAGCATTTGGTGGGAAACAAGATGTTTTAAATATGCTTATTTTCTTTATATTTATCAAATTCCCTTTTCCCTGCTTCAAAATTAATATAAAAAATGCAGAGGATTCTAAAGAGAGGGACTTGGTTCTTAAATTTAATAATGAAAGTATTTACATTGCAAATAAGCTAAAAACTGCAACATTTCTTAGTGATTTTCTTTCGTCTGTTTTTGTTTTATGCATACTTACACTCAAGGCAGCTGGTCCTGGAGGTCCTGCATCTCCCTAGTTAAAACAGGAGAGTAAGTAAATCAGCGATCTCTTTAGTTATACGTATTTAACCTCTAGGCATTTTAGAGGATATGCATCACTGCAGAAGTAAATTCAGTATAATCATCAAACACACTCTGATTATGATAATATATGAGTAAAGCAATATTCTTTTTCAGTAATGGCACAGATGTACACAGTTTACCACAGGTTAAATGCAAAAAAAATGGCAGGCCTCTGCATAAATGAATCACAACTTAAAAAAAGCAATCCTTCAAAACACATTTGCATATGTTAAATTACAAGCTGCAGCGGACACGCACAAGGTGGCCACTGAAGTCAGTATGACAGCTCACATATGTAAAGACATCTGACTGTGTAAAATGTTCACAGAATTAGGTCGCTGAGGTACGAATCACGCTGTGAGACCTTCAGGTTCAGTCCATGGGAGCAAATCAGGGCACCCAGAGAGCAATTCAGAACATCCAATTTAGGCTCCTGCTCTGAATTCCTTTCAAAATTTGCTGTGATAAAGAGTACCTGTCTTCCATATTTACAGTTAGTCTGTATTCATATTCTTCAACCTTTAAGCTACATAAATGGCAGCAGTGGGTGTTTGTCACATGTAGTTAAGGCAATGTGTTCAATACTGAAGAAATATCATGCACACTCACATATAAATACAACTTTACAGATAAAGTACCTTTTCTCCTTTAGGTCCAGCCATACCAGGACTACCAGGGTCACCTTTTAGTCCCTGGGCAAAGAAGAAAAATGCATATTTCTTGTCATCTGTTGAAAGCGTTGGACAAGATCCTGTAGTGCTGTGAATTAGTATATACTAACCAACTAAGCCTTAAAATGTTATCACATTATTAGTACTACTATCTCATAATTCTTTATTTTCATTATTTTGTGAACAGAGAAACATCTATTGAAGACCGCATGTGTCTTCAACACATAATTAAACATACAAAACCAAACTATCTCCTTGATTGTGCCCCATTATGGCAAGTAGCGTGTAGAAATGCAAAGTTCCTTTGCAGTCCCAGTAGGTCTGTGTCTTGCATGGCCAACAAAGATAAAACAGAATGCTAGAGAACGTACTAGTACATTCACTTAACTTCTGCTAAAATTGGGAAAGAGGCAGAGGTGGACAGAGAGCTGTGGACTCTATGTGTCAAGTAGCAATGCTGAGCTGGTGAGCTACCCTGGTGAGGGTAGCTCAGGGTACATACAGCTCAGAGCTGCTGCACATCCTCCAGCACTCTGATCTTCACCAGTGTTTGAAAAGGCAATTAGAGAAATAATCGAGTCCTTCATACCTCCCTTCTTAGTTCTGCCTTCAGCTAGAGAAGCAGATAATACTGCCTAGTCTTACACATTACATATGCAGCAATTTCACAATCGCAGAATCATAGAGTGGTTTGGGTTGGAAGGGACCTTTAAAGGTCATCTAGTCCAACGCCCCAGCACTGAGCAGGGTCATCGTCAACTAGATCAGGTTGAGCCCCATCCAACCTGACCTTGAACGTTTCCAGGGATGGGGCATCCACCACCTCTCTGGGCAACCTCTTCCAGTGTTTCACCACTCTCATCGTAAAAAATTTCCTCCTTATACCTAGTCTGAATCTATGATATCTACAATACAGCTCTTCCACTAACATGTCTCACCACAAGCACCCCCAAAAAAATCTTTAGCACCCAGCACATAACCTTTGTTGTCTTCTCCTTGCTGCAAAACACATGGAAAAGCGAGAGGTTTTGAAATATGCCTAGCAAATTCAAGGCATTCTGCAGTAAGGAATGAACTTAATTCTGATGCTGGATTAACCTACCAGGAACTCCTTTTTGTTTAAGCGAAGAGGTATGTCTTGTGCCTTCCCTCTGATCACTGCTTTAGAGGCATGCAACAGGAGAGCATGTACATTCTAAGTCAGAGACAGCTCTACAGGTTCAAAGATTTTTCTTAGAAACCAAATGGCAATAATGTAGGCAATACAGGACTGAATCATAATGAGATACTCCACAAGCAGGCCACCATTTTTATTATTGTGGAGGTTAAATAGGTTGAGGACCGAAAAGATTCATCTGCATCTGAATTAGGGTTTACTAACTTAAGTTCTTTCCAGCCCCCTTTTTGCCCTTGCAAACTCTCTTCCTCAGTTTGCAATAATTGGAAAGATAGAGACAACTGGCATGAAAATGATAAGTAACATCTGTGCCTCGGTGGGTACAGAAACATTAAATCAGCGAGTGTTCTAAATACTGCATATTTGTGCAACTTCACTTCCTGCTAAAATTACATTAATTCACCATCTGGAAGGAACATCATTTAGAACTATATGAGCATTTAAGTACCCACTTTGGATTAAATTTGTGGTTGTTGTAAATACCCCTGATTTAGCTTTGATTTGTCCTTTATTAAGCTTGCCAAATATGTAATAGTTAAATCAGAAGTAGTTTTGCTGTTTGAACTTAAAAAATGTAATAGGCAGATGGATTCAAAAACCAAGCCAAAAAATTGCTTTCGTTTTACAATCTGCATATTTATGACATAGTTTTAATATTGTCTCCATTTACTACACTTTACTTTTCACCTCCTTCTGAAAGACTGCATAAAACACAACCACTCCTTATTCTAAAAAGCCATTGTAGGGATTTTTCAGGTATGTAAACTGTATCGATTTGGTTCAAAATCAATATTAGCAAATTAGCAGTGGAACAATAGGTTTGAGTTTAAGAATTAGCTCTTAGGCTGTATATTTACAGAACAGATAAGGGTAAAAAAAAAAAATCTGCGACTCACAGACGGTGATATATATCTGTGTGTCTCTACTGAACAGAAAAGACAACTGCAGATGAAAGATACTAAACCTAAGCCATGCACTGTCAAGCTATGAACCTCATTTTTTCCTAATTGGTGTGTTTAAAGCTTTTAGTAGTGTTCCTGCAGTGCACCTTGGTGAGGTATGCAGTTTGACAGCTACTGCAGAGATGATGACTACAGAGGTCAACATCACATAAAAAGGACAAGGGGAAACTACATATTTGAGAACAAGCCTTACAGTGTTTGAAGCAGGATTTCTGAGTAGCCAGAAAGATTTTTATATAAAGTATTTATTTTAAAATACTTTAATTAGCTTTCCTTTGCAGTTTAGAACCCCAAGAAAGAAAAGTAGTATCAGAAAAAAAAAAATTGCTTAAAAGGTTATCCCATTAGAAGTATTTCTTGTTCTTCTACACATTATATATCTTTAAAAAATATTATTATCTTAATAAGTTCCAGACAGTGAATGCTTGCAAAAACACATCTGGTACTGCACCATGCCTATTCTTCCCTACAGCCACCCTTTTAAAGCTGCTGAGAGGTTTAGCTGCTGCTGCCTGTCTCTGAAATGACATAAGAAGTACGAATTCCTGTGCTAAGTCCAATCTGTAGCCCCTTCTAGTGCCGTACAGTACAGTATCCTGTCTCTCGCACAGACCAGAACAGGACGCTTCAGTAAAATGGACGTGGTTATCTAAACAGATATAATTTGGATCATTTTAGATTAAGCTTTAAATTAGAAAAGCAGTATTTTCTGCAGTATTTTAGGAGAATGAGGTCAGTTTTGAAAACAAACGAATTTCTATCGATCTAAGGAGTCTGTTACCAGATTTGCCAGAAATTAAGAACTGAGTAAAAATTCCAGCAGCTCTCAAAACAGAGGGTGAATGAATTACTGAATTCTATCCCGATCTAATTCTAGCTTTTTAGGAGCAATATAATAATACACATTTGTAAGTTATGAACAGTCTTCAGCTGCTACTTCTTCTCCTCTGTAAGGACTACAGCTTGGTCTTTTTACAGGTCAGACTAAACTTACGTTATGGTTCCTCTATGGATGTCAAAATGTCAAGTAAGCATTAGAATATGCATGTATAAGGCCAACTCAAGGCTAACAAGGTAACAACATGAGAAATGGCAGAAATGAGAAATGTTACATATATATATATATATAAAATAAGACAGGTATTACTGTCACACAATTGCTGACCAACAGAGAAATTACTGGAACAAGTATATCACAAATACCAATAAGGGTGTAAAATCAGCAAAACTGGGGCCAATGGGGGAAAGATTAAACTAGAGGCAGGCTTTTTGTTTGGAAGGGGATGACAATGGTGGAAGGAATTTAAAGGAGAAGTTACCATATTGGTTGACACTATTTTTGACAAATATTTAACCAGCCTCCTCTGTGATATTAGTTTACTGGAGTCTTACCCAGTCTACAAAACCAACTGGATTAGGAGAAGAAAGCAATTAAAAACCAGTAACTGTGCTTTAAAGCTCTAAAAAGGACCATGGTTTCACAAATTCTTCAAAGGATGGGATTTTATTAATGGTGTCCCAACACCACTGGCATAAAAAGCGACAGTTTTTCTATTTGAATTTTTCTTTTAAACCAGCGACAATCTCATACAATGTTTGCTGTGCTCTGGAGTTCCACGGTGAAGAAAAAATAACTTTACTTGGTGACGTGATAAATATGTTCCTTACCAAGTCTGAGAACATTTTATTCATTCAAAAGAAGTGCCAGGTATAAGCAGAACCAGAAAACGAAACATTTTTCACTTCCTGTGTTTTCAATCATTTGGACAAGATCAGAACAGTCAAAGATTTTGCGAGAAAAGGGAACCAAACAACATTTTTCCCTAAGCCAATTCTTCTGGGTCAACATGACGATCTGTAAACTGGTACTACTACCATCACTAGCAAAAAGGACAGAAGATGAAGAGAACAGAGGATTCACAGCTTGCTGCTTCTGCTGGGAAATCACATCCCATATGCCTGTAGTGTCTCAGGAACTACTCTACGAAGGAATCCTAGCCTGTAGGAATATTATCTAACCTGGCCATCAAATGACAGCAACAACTTGAACCAAGTACACACCTTCTGTGAGTACTCTCAACATAAGCTACAGGGGTTATATTAAAAGGGAAATGTGTCTTGGTGCTTGCACAGGATGGGGAAGGCACCCTGTAATTTAAAGGAGTCTGCTTCTGTAAATTAGATTTTCTTGCAGACTCGTTTGTTGCTTTTAACCTTGACACTGTGATGTTCAGCTGGGTTTAAAAGCCCCACAAGGGATTTCTAAGGGTTTAATGAGCAGCCACCTCTCTGGCTGAGACCAACTAGCTGGCAATCCACGTGATAAAAACTCTGTAGCCCAAACAGGGGGACTTGAATGATAGGCCAGGGAAGTTTGAGAAAGACTTTCGGCAGTAGACTGACAATGAGCTGATCTGGGAGCAAACACAGAAGCCTCAAGAAAGCTAGGGTAAGGAGAGGAAGCTTACTGGGAAACTCTTACAGAGCTGCCAGAGTTTCTAAGGTTTACGCTGCCTGGCAGCAGACAACTGGACTGAAGGGTTTCCGTATGGACTGGAGACCAGAGGAACCAAGGGCATCGAAAGCCAGGGTTCCGTTTAACAGCTCGTTGAAGGCAAACTACTGAGATGAAAAGACAGTTATCAGCCACAATACAAACTTCACCAGTAGTGTTAGAAGACAGGGCCCACAGCCTTTTCTCAGCTGCCATCAGTTACTTACTTATCCACAGATGGGAAATATCTGAGAAGTGCATTAACCTCTCACCCTGAGATAAAATGTTTACCATAATAACAGACATTAATTTGATCAGAGAAGTCTGAAAAAGAGTACCAAAATAACTGAATTGTTAGCTTTGCATGAAATTATCAATAAGAAAACTCTTTCTAGAGTTCAGGGACGTTGGAAAAATTGTTGTGTTAAGTGTTCCCTCCAAGTAAAACATGCTTTTTGTGCCCTAATGCTCTACTTGATGAATTCTGACTTAACATGCTCTAGCAGGTTCACTGAGGCCTGAGAAAACTGTACCATACACGGAAAATTTTCTCAGAGAGAGAGAGAGAGCAATAGACAGTGCTTATACATCATCACGGAAAAGAGATGAAACAGGTAAAATGTACCGGCAGCTGATGACAGGTGCTCGTCCCAATGAAAAAATGCAAAGATCAGGTGGACCCCAACCAGAGGACTCCAGCAGCTCCTGCAGCAGCCAAGTGTTGCCCACTGGAAATGTACCCCTATTTGTGCAGCACACACTATGCTGCATGCATGTGGCAACGGAAAATGCTGTGAGATTGGCATAATCTTTTGAGGAGAACAGGTTTTTCACTCTAAAAGATATCTGTTTGGAAAAACATCATTCATTATTTACAATTCCCTGGCCAGCATTAGAGTAATCTGGTTCAATCTCACATCAGGTTAAAATCACCTAGAACAACACATATTATCTGAAGTACTGGAAATACAGTAAACAATCCAACACGCTAACCAACAATGTGCAACCAAATAATTATAGATCAAATCAACAATCTCTACCAAGTAATAAAATGTGGAAATACTCTAACAAGTAAGATAACAGAACGACACTTTCTCCACAGAGCGGCCTTAAAATCTAAATAAAAACAGCTTCAGAGTCAGCTGTACAACACCAAGCTGTATATGTTGGGATAACTTTTCTAATTCATCAAAGTATTTTCAAAGCTCCAAACAATATACTATTCAGTTTCTGTCTCACGTACTTTTAAATATTGCCATTGCTCTTTTTTCACCAATGTCATTCAAAAACTTCAAATTGCTACACTACTAGAATTTTCTGGATCCTGAGCAACACCTACTGTCTCCTTATACTTTTATTCCTAACAGAATCCTCAAACTCTAGATATACTTAAATATCATTACCAACTTCATACTTTCAAGCAATAGGATTCTTCCCTTCCTACCCAAGTATTTCCTTACAATGCTAATACTAAGAGAATTCAAGATTAGAGAGACAGACCCTGAGGGTGTGAAGGTAAACGACTGTTACTATCATATCAAGACACTGTTCATACTTCTGTTCACGTTTTCCCACAAGCATAAAAAGAAAAAGGTCCGATATGTTTTCCATCCTTCCACTGAAAATCTGGGATTTTTTTCATTGAGCTCTGAACTTCAGAGGTCCACCCTTTGACATCAGGTATGTAAAGAATAACAACATTTTATGTAGGAAAGTTTTTAAAAAGTCACTTAGGGTATCATCTTTCCCAGCAGGAGAAAAAAAATAATTAGTGAATCACTTGGTTTAATGCTGTAGAGATTATATACTAGATTTTAATTTCAGATTTTTTTTACACTTTTTTTTTTTACAGTTTACAAGAAAGACTCTGTTCTTCCCCTAGCTATGCATGACACATGGTGATAGATATGATAAAACTTTCTGTTTTCACTTACTTTTGCTGAAGGATTTCATTTATGTAAGCAAAATGTTAATTGGTAGTATCCCATGGTATTCACTTCCTACCTGCACCACTGATCAAGAAAATGACATGACTCCAAAGAGAGTCTAAAAGTTTCAATGATAAAGATTTTCTTTCCATTTCAGTTCAACTGACAAGCATATGAATATATTATAGATCTTACTCCACAGATAGTTTCATGGATATTTGTATTGCAAATTTGTCCTTATTCTGTATGGGATATGAGTGTGATGGAGAAGAAACCGTATTTATCAGGATTTCTTCAGACAGTGTGTCTATGAAGCGCCACTTGTTACAGTGATACAAATGATAGCATTATTAATGTCAAGTGGCTAAAAAAGTCTCACGGGATAAAACAGAGATACTACTCAAGCAAACTGGCTGTTCATATTATACAGGCAAGTATCTGCTTACAGATGTAATGTGAACACATAGCACGGGAGGACTACATTAGTAATATATGAAGTTATTTATAACTACCCCTTAAGAAGCTAAAAACAATGGCAACCACATTACTAGTATTTATAGTAAGTATTCATGTTGTCAGATGGATTTTGAATAATGTCCCAGACTGGGACACGGCACTGTAGATCTTGGCTCAGATTCCTGGAGTGATAAACTGGGAGATGTGCAGAGCGGTTAAATATATTCACAGTTCCTGCATCCAAACCTGGTTCTTAATGAGATTAACTGACCCAGTCAGCACAACCAGTGAGGGATGAAGGAATTAAACTTTTCAGGTATCTCTTCATCATTACAGAAAGCCTAGTCTCCAAATCAGGCCTGGCTTCCCCGCTGTCACGCTACTTCATTCTAGCAAGAACTTTTTGTACAGCTAAGAAAAAGCAACTAGTAACAGCAAGCAAAACTGTTCTGTGACACCTACTTTCCCGATTTTGATTAAAATAAATTCACATATGTCTCTACCATTTGTGCAAGATAAAATGTTCAGTCATCATTTTCAAGTTCTTCACTTGTGAGTACGGAAACCCTCACTCCCCCAGGCAGAGACAACAGCTGCCAGCAGCCGATACTGCTAGCTTTAAGTGTTTTCAGGCTTTCTTTATACAGCACTGCAGATTACACCCATGTAAGCAGATTAACTTGATTATTTCAGAAATATCGGATGTTACATTTCTGTATGTGGAATGAGTTTGAGAGACACTGATAGCAACCAAGAGTCAATGATACACAGTCCTTTAAATTTAAACTTAATGACTGGCATCTCCATGCACAGTGATAACTGAATCCAAAGCATTTTATATGTGTTGTTAAAAAGGAATTATGTGTGGATTCAAACAATATAATGTTATATTGCTGTGTGCAATTTTACTTCCAAAACATTTTAATGACAGTTCCCATGATGATAATCTACCATTTCTTGACACATTACAACAGTTCAGTAAATATTTCATAATATAAAGGTTCAATATTTTACACTTTCACAGTGCCACTATGTCAACTATGTTCTAGAGTTCACCAGATACTTGGTATACCTTACTCTTCCTAAAAGGTTTATGGAACAAGATCCCATGTAGTAAAGGAGATCGTGTAAGACCAACACAGAAATGTCCCCAGAGCTATGGAAAGAAACACAGATGTGTTTTTTCCATGCTGTCAGCATATATGTATGCATGACAGAAGTATACGGTTCACCTTTACAGACAGGCAGGCTACAAGAGAATACCTCTTTGAATACCTAAACACAGTTTCAGCTCAGAACATAGTATATGTTTTCATATGGAGGACATCCACTATTAGTCAAAAATACCCTGATTTATCTAGCATAAAATTATAATAACCTAAAATAGGACAAATATGTTTATGGTTACAGTGTGTGTAGAAAGCCAGATGACATAAAAAGTGTCATAATTATGTAGTCTGTTTTACTGCATTTTCAGTAGACCCAGCTAGACTGTCACAGCATTTTTGTGTCAAATGCTGACCCTTTTACTCTTCTGGTAAAGTTGCTTAAAAAAGCTTTGCTGAACAGTTTTTCCAAATCCTGTATCTGGATTCCAGTCGTAATGCCAGTCATTCCCCACAGAATTTGGACAGTCAGGTTCAGATCCCTCTGTGACATGCTCTGTGCCTTCAACTGCGATACTTTGCAATTGGAGAGCCAACAGTATCCTGCATTAAAACCTAAACCCGGGTTGACCCCCTGCTAGGTCAAGGAGGAGACAGGAGGGGAAGAGGGGGGATAAAGAAAACTGCTGGCTCAATTTTTTTTATTTTTTTTTTTTTAAATCTTGCTGTTCGAACCATGCTGGTTGGCCATTTTAGTATTGTACTGAAAAAAATTCTGATTTTCTGCCCTCTTATCTTGGTTTAATATATACAAAAATAAATTTAAATTTAAAAATAAATTAGGCAAAAGTAAGGTTTATTACTGGGCACATCTTTAGTGTTAGCTCAGGTTCAAGCCTGAATATGAACTCAATGATCAGGATTATCCAGTATTTTTAGACACAGATTCATGCTCTACCTCAAATATGGACCGGACCAATTAACTAAGTAGGCAGTGAAATCTGGCAGAGAAAAAAAGTGAAATTTTAACTCAAATTCTCTGTCATGAGCCACATGGCACAGCGAGTGACCCATGCCTCTCACTCAGGAATGGCTAACAGCTTGTGTATTTTCCTTTTCAGAAACCAAGGCTCCAGGCCTGGCTTTACCCTGTCTCCAGAAATGCCCTCTTTTCCAGCAGATTATCCAACCAGGAACGATTCTCATCTATACTGTGTTGCTTTAATCCCCACTCTTGTTTCAGTTTATCTCATGAGCCCTCAGCAGAAATATCACGGAACCTACCACATCCTTACCCACAGCGCTCCCGTCCAACCTGAAAGCCCTAAGAACTCACATCTCACCTGAATGCACCTCTTTTTCTTGCCCCATCGTCTCGTGGATGTTAACTCTCCAGGCATACACATTTTCTAAATCCATCACTCTCCTTACATAAATTCTCAATTTCATTGCTTAACCATCCCCCAGAAAGTTTGTAACTTGACTGTTTCATTATCATTCAGTTTACCTCTCTTCCATGAATGCCTTCTGGTCCTGGTTCTCCTTTATCTCCTTTTTCACCCTAAAAGAATGAATATTTATTTTATTATACATACAAGACAAATACTAACCCATGACACTTTTTAACAGGAAAAATATTTTAAGATTCTAGTCTGTCCTACATGAACCGTTACATATACATTGCTGGCTGCACAAGCAAAACTATTTCTTACATTCCAACAGAAATTCTTTCCAAATAAATGACTCTGAAAAATGTCTAGCGCTCTGAGAGCTACAGTTCTCTGTACTTCACAGTGCCACTGAACATCCATAAAGACTCACCACAGAAAAATATTCTTGGTTCTCACACTGCTCCAAGAACATGGTGGTGAAACAGAAATTTACACCGGGGAACAGTTTTTCTTTTGAAAATCTTAACATTAACATTAAATTAATTGCTTTCATTCTGAGACTGTTTTTTAATAAACAATTCTTGTTTTAAATATCTGATAATAGAACTGTCCTCAATATTATCATTTGTCTTTGACTCATACTGTTACATGGTTCACTGATTGCATTTGAAAAATGGAAACAATTTTTGTTCTGAAAATTTTCTCACAAGTATGAATATGAACAATATTATGAATGAAAAGAAAAAAATGGCAGGAAGGATCCTTCAGAGTCGACTACACAGGCTGGTTCCTGTGATTGCTGATGAAACACTGACTACAAAACAATATTTTTTGTAGGATACATGAAAGGATTCAGTTCTGATTATCTCTAACTACCATGCTATTCTAGTTAACACGTATTTCATCAAAGTGAACAAAATACACCTGCTTAAGAGGCAGAATTTAAGGGAGAATGTCTTCCAGAACTAACAAGTCTAAACAGCCCTGTAATTGCATCTCTGTCACTAGACTGAACTTTGTCAAATCATAAAAGTAACATAATTCTGATAAAAGCACGAGGACTGACTTTAACTAGAGTCCCAGCTCTTCACATCAACCAAAGAAAGCGAACAGCCCTGCACTGAATTTCCATTATCTCCAGGGGACTACATTTGTCTGAGCAGAACCTATTCATTATGTCAGCATCATCTTCATAATTCTGTTAGGTAAATGGTATTGAACTGAGATCATTCAGCTAACTCCATTTGTGACACAGCCCTGATTCAGAGCTATTCCTCCAGTGGCAATGACAGAGGGCATTTCATCTAATAATTGGTTTTGCATAAGGAGTTTGTATGAGCTTTCTCAAACAACTGAAGCCTACTAACAAATTAGCAACAGCAAACTGTCAATTTAATAACCCAATGCATGAGATGGCTTTGCTATTCATTGTTTCCATTTTAATACATCCTGTTGATAAAAAACCTAATGCTATGCATTAGCCTGAATCATACTGTTAAGGTTTTTCCTCAAGTGTTGCCTTTCTTGCTTGTCAAAAAAAAAAAAAAAACCAAACAAAAAAACCCAACTAAACCAGATAAATCTATGCATTTATTGCAAAAGTTTAAATGACACCAAACAGTTATAGGAATTTAATACTGGTTATTTTAGTATGTTTAAACTATAAAGTCCTCTTTGTTCTCTCGATTAAGGCATTGGTTTAGTTAGTAATTTTCTTTCACTGTCACTTTAAAAAAATAGCAGTTGAACTCCTAAACTTGCTATTCTTTTTTAAATAGCTCACTTAAACCTTTAGAAGAAACTGCAAAAATGACATTTTACTTTTCATCACTGTGACACACGGGATATTTAATACTGCTTTCAGGATCTTTCAACTAGTATCAGTTACACTGCTACAATCTCACAACAGTTACAAAGGTACAGTCATATATTTGACAGAATATCTCCTTATCTGAATATATTTATAGAAGATTTAAAAATCATTACAATTTATGGAGCTGTTTTTTCTTTTATGATTTATCTGCTTTCATACTTTAAGAGAAAATGATATAAATATGTGCAGATTTGCTTCAGAAGTAGTGGCATCCTGTAAATTCCTTGATGTATAGGTGGAAACCAAAGGTAGGAGTATCTTATCATAATTTGTTATGCAACACCTACATTTACATAAAAACCTAAACAGAGAGCCTAAGCCAAAAGGCGACCCTCCCCTCACCCTCGCTTATCATTTGCCTTGATGTTAGATGAGCAGCATGTGTCGGAGACCATGCCTTTTTCTTCTACAGCAGGCAGACAGTAACTTTAAAATGCTGGTGGGCAGTTCTAGACACATACAAGTGTGGTTGGTAAATGCAGGGAAGAACGAAAAACTCCATTCCTTATGATTTACAAGATATTTGGATTTAAGATGTTTGTCAGCTTCTTAGATAAAATGATAAAAAGCACCCCCTGTTAAGGAGCCTCGGACCTCTGCAGAGTCCCAAGAGCCATAGGCTTTCTGCCAGGTATGCGATTTTACTATGAACCTATTCTGATTTTTTAATGGAGTAAATGATTTGTCCTTACCAAGCCTGTCACATGGAATGTCCGTGTCCTCTGCGAAGCCAGAATTCAAATCAAACAGAGGTCCAATTTTTACAATTTATTCTCATGAGAACTGAGCCAAGTCACGCTCATTTCTGCCTTTATGGAGCGCACTATACTGCATAATTAACAGCTTCAAATCTAGCCAATTTGCAGAATCGCTGAAGCCACTCTGCAGTGTAGAGGAGGCTGTTAATAATCAACATTGTGGCTTACCTCATAGATTAACAAAAAAGAGAGAAAAATGTCTTAATGCCATTTTATATCTAATGTTCCTGCCTGCTTCCAGTATAACCGCTGGGAGGGATTCAGTCTGCTGTGTGTAATAGCGGATACACTGAGTTCAGTGGTAACATCCTTTAATTAGACCCAGGGGTTCATGCACGGCCTCTGTAAGATGAGAGTACCAGCCTTCAACTCACTTGTCCACTTTAAGGCTGCCTCATTTTCCTTGCATACTCTTTCCTCCTTATTATAAAGGCAAAGTAATGAATTTGGAAATAAAATATATTCCTACCTAAAAATTTACCTAAAAAGGTGGTTTTTTTGTTGTTTTTTTTTTTTTCAGCGCTGCCCTGTTAATGATACTAATCAGGAATTCCTGATATCCTTTGTTCCTAGCATTTTAAAGTACCACTGTTAACAATAGCTGAAATACTCTCCAAAGTATGCAAGCTATACAGTATCACTAACTCAGTGTGGACACCTTATAATTTTTAACCTCTGAAACTCTGTGATTTTACCGTACATATCTTTAAGATAGTTAATGGCTTGTTTTTTTAAAATACTCTTCTGTGTTTTGCTACAGCTCTGTCTCAGCAGAATGCTCTATGTGAATTTTCTTTTCTTGTGACCACTTCTCCACAGCTTCTTTTAAACTGAACCCAGCTCATAGTAATGCTTATTGATTTTTCCTAAATGAGTTACTAATTTAAAAAATCAGCATCTTCAGTTAAAAAAAAAACCCTGTGGCTTTTTCTGTTTTTGCTGATAGATGTCTGGAGAGCTGGGGTTATGAAGGGCTCCATCCCAATAACATTCTTATTGACTGACCTGTAACCCTTCTGCAGAATGTGGGATAGTATACTTCAGGAAAGCGGCAATACTCAGGGTGAAACACCTCAGGACTGCTGAGACACTATACCATTTAAAAGGAGTGGAAATCAAGGCAGACTAATGATCTTGTCTCAGTTCAGACTGGGAGGAACTATGCAAGGAAATGAAAGAGAGACACAAGAAGCTTATTTCCAAACAGACTGTTTGGAAATAATAAGACTATTACCTAAGCAGGGTCAGAAAGAGACAGCATGAAACACTACAGAAATACACTTCTATTTCTAGTAAAATAAAACCAACAGCGATGACCTGGAAGAATGTCACCGTGAAGCCTGTGTCTTCCCAAACCCACCTATTTAGGATACTGAGACACAGCAAGAAAGCAGGTGATCACAAAGCTTCACAGGCATCAGGAATTCAGACAGCTCAGTAGATACACTTATCAAGAAACTGTGACCAAAAACCTTCTGATTCCAAACTGCGCCATCGCCGTCTTGTGAAAGAGCCCCAGACAACAGGTGTCATGCCTGACCAAGCCGGATAACACGTCAGGAGAAAGATCTTTCCTTCCTGCTTCACTTATATAGACTGAGCAATACTGAAGACGTTCATACTGGCTAACTACCGCTTAGCATCACGCATCACGTTTCTAAGCAAGCTCTAGGCATTTCTAAGCCAGAGAGGCTATATAAAGGCAAACTACCACCTCAGCTGAGTCCAAAATCTTAGGCACAGAATGATCTGAAGCCAGGCCAGCCCATGGCTCCGAAACTGCACTGACGAATTGCCTCTTCCTGTCA